CGGCATCTGGAATCAAATATAATAATCAAGCTGTTTCAATGTTTCCAGATCCAAATATGATTAACAATTTGTTGGGAGTGTATTGGATCCAGTGATGGTGGCTTTGTTATTGGTACTGTCGTGGTGATGTCGACGGTGAGATAGTGTCTGTGACCAATCATTTGGTTGATTTGTGACCAATATTGGTGGTAGATTGGGATCGGGGGTGGGATGTTCTGATGTCTCTGACCAATTATTTGATTCATTGTGACCAACTATTAAAATGTGACTTTAAAAGTTGATAATTTGTGACAAATAAATAATGCGTGGTTTTTCAGTTTGTAAATGTTTATGTTGTAGTAGTGGTTGTAGTGGTGAGGGGGTCGTGGTGTTAGAGGTGATTCTGCCTTTTGAAGCTGATCGTGGGTGGTTGCTGAGATGGAGGTGGCTCGGAAAGTCAAGGTGTGGTGAGGTTTGGAGTTCTCGTCGAAATGGGTTGAATTTTGTGGTTGGGCGGTGCGTGTGGGTGGACTGCGTTGTGACTTGTGACCTGGCCTGTGACTTGATTTGTGACTTGTGATCGGGCTGTGACTCTTGACTTGTGACTTGTGACCTGAGTTGTGACTCTATGACTTGTAACCTGAGTTGTGACCGTAAAAAAAATGTCAACCGTACAAAATAATATAGCAGAGTTGTCGCCGGAATATTCGTCGGAGTTGGAACAATTGTCGAAATCGGAGTAGTCGTCGAAAAAAATCGTCATCGGAACGATTGCCGGAACAGTCATCGGAATCGGAGTAGTTGCCGGAACGGTCGTCGGAAGTTTGCCGGAGTAGGGAGGTGATCGGAATGGTCGTCGGAAAGGTAGGGGTGGTGAAGGTTGGATGAGTTAATTATATTATATTATAATTAAATATTTGATAATAAATTAATTTAATAATTTATTATTTCATAAATAAAAATTTAAATTTTTATTAACAAAAATCTGATTTTGGAAATTTCAAACTTGTGTTCTTATTTTTTAAATGAGCTAAACTAATCTTCCCTTTAATTAATTTGATTAATTAAATATCGGATCGGGTTAAGTTTAGAGATGGGCCAGCCCACTTGGGCTTATATTAATAGGATGCTAGGGTTTGTAAACTGTAGAGATTTTTCATAATTCTTGCTAACACAAAAAAAAGTAAAACCCTAACTGTCATTCTTCTCTGTATGGATCACCATTGGAGGCTGGATAA